CTCGATTACGTAGATTCACTGATATTTCATCTGCATACACTCCCCAGTGATAGCCAACAGACTTGTCATTTGCTGTGCAACAGGGCTCGTGACCCATGTATCACACAAAACTCCTGCTAGTATTTGCATATTTGGCTAATTTTCATACCATATTGTCTTATCAACTTTTTTTTCCTGTAATGCAACTATGACTTAAGTAACATTTCAGAGGATAAAACTCCTATCATTCTATTAAATTTTTTGTGTGAAAAATTAGTCTTTGGAAAATCAATGCTCTTTTTAGTGTATTTCTGTTACCTACCAAAAGATGGAGGCATTATTCAATAACACACTGCAGATCTAGAGCAGTGCTATTAACAGAATTATGAAGCAAGTCACTTATGTAATTTAAAATTTTCTAGAATCCATATTAAAATTTTTTTTTAACACAGGCACAGGTCTTGGCCCAGAGTGGGCTCTGAAACAATACTGAATAAAATACAAAACAAACCTAGTAACAAGCATCAGAGTATTAAGAAAANATTCATAACAGTAGCAAAATTACAGTTATAGAGTAGCAACGAAAATAATTTTATGGTTGGGGGTCACCACAACATGAGGAACTGTATTAAGGGGCCGTGGCATTAGGAGGGTTGAGAACCGCTGGTTTAGAGTTTTAGTAAAAATCATACATGCTCACTGTGTTATAAGCAATATCTGTTTCTATCTTCTCTTCACCTATTAACGGTATATTATTTTAAAAGTTCTAACATTTTAATCCAACAGAAATCATTCATTGAGCCTAACACCCAAAGGGCTCTTAGTTTATGGAAACAGAATCATATACACAAAGCCCCAGGACAACATCAGAGGCTGGGAAGGAGGAGACCCACAGGTCGGCGAGGGGAGGAAGGAGCTGGCTCCTCGGAACTGCAGAAAACCAAACCCACACACCTGATGTGGCCAGGGGCACGTTAAGAAAGCCATCTCACAACGGAAGGCCACACGCTGAGACCCTGGGGCTCTGTGCTGAACGTCATACGGCAATGGAAACCTTCCCATATGTTACTGACATAAGCAGTCTCTCCAAGTGTAGAACTGAACAACTGCTCTCTGCAGATGAAAACGCCCTCCCACCCAGCTGCCCTGTGGCCTCTCCCTACAGAGCAGACTGCTTGGCTTCCTGGGTTCCGCCTTTCCAGCTGATGTCACTAAGCACAGCCAGAGGAAAAGTCATCCTTTGAGCTGCCCAAATCCTCCCCACATGTGCTAGTCCAAGTACCTTACAGGCTCTGCACCTATCCTGTTTCCCTGAAAATAAGACGTAGACAGAAAATAAGCCCTCGCATGATTTTAGGTGCCAAAATATGGCATCTTGGCATACTGAATATTTTAAGCTGAAGGAGCTTGTAGAAAAGGCACCCTTCTTCCTGAAACAGGTCATAAAACCCTCCTGTGAGGGGTGCGTACCCTCCATATCCTGGAGGAATCAGGCTACGGCTTCTTCTCCGGCTAGGTCTTATTTTCGGGGAAACACGGTAGTTGCTATAAATGCATTTCTGTGGGGAAGTCTGGAGCGTAGGAATACAACTTCTTGGAGGCATTATTGATGTGGGGTATGTGCACTGAACATTATGCGTGGAAAAACACAACAGCTCAACATTTCAGAGGAATGGAGGGCTTCAAAAGCTGAAGGGTGGGGTGAAGCTCATGGCCTCAGCTGCACGGAGAAAACCCCACTCGCTTCCCTAGGTGCCCTCCGTGTACTGCACAGCCAGCCATATGACAAATGCTACGAATAATCTGATAATGCTCAGGACCAGCAGCCAAGGCAAGATGGCGAAAGCCTGTTCAGTTTCTAAACACCAACAATTATAAAAATTAGCAATTTGCTTCTGTACACACTACAGTCCCATGTTATAAACCTGTGTAAAAACTCTACCATCTGCTCACTAGCCAGTCCATGTACGAAGTGCAATTTAAAAACAACACGACACTTGTACAAGTCCGATTACAATGAAGTGGTGAAAACACATACACAATAGAGGATGTCTGTAACTAAATACTGGGTGTACTGCAATATGAGAAAACACATCTCACCAGCAGTGACACTGGTGAGGACATGAGCCATATGGCATGGCAGCCGACACAGGGTGGGAGGCCCAGCAGTTGTCTCGGGGAATACCCCTCTGCCCTCACACAGCTCCCGGAGGTCAAACACAAAGCAGGCCTTCCCTCACTGCAGCCCTCTCCTTCCCGCTGGGCGCTGAGTATCTGCTGGGAAGCAGAACGGTCGTCTGTGGACCAGGTGGGTCAGCTATCTGGCCGCCCGGCCTCTTCCTCCTGCTCTGTATCCTGGAGCTAAGGCCTCCACGGTGCCTGACTCTGTCCTTCCAGAGGCTAAGGGGCAGACACGGGAGGAGCGAAGGGGGCAACGCAGCTACGTGCTCCCAAGTGTGGATGGAATTTTATTAGGGCTTTTACGTTACATCCGTTCCGTGCCACGTGGGTCTAGTTTAACTGTAACTGGAGGCCGCTCATCAGAGTTAAATGAACTTCTCTTCCCTGACTTAAAAGGAAATTCTCAGAGAAATATAAAATAGGAGAGTCTACCTATATACTAAGGCAGTAACAGTAAACGCACCCTGAACAACTCTACAAAGAAAATCTTATCATTTTCTCTCCCCTCAACCTGTACCACAGAAACAAGGGAAGTAGCTGATGGTGTATGTGTTCAAGGGACAATGTACATGTCACCTATTAAACAAACCCTGTAACAAAACAGGGCTGTATGTTTCAAACAGATGGCATGCCAAGATTCAGCCTAACCTAAGTACCTAAAGAGAAGGAAGCCTTAAGCCACAAAGAGGTAACCATTCAACCACCTCCCTTCTCTTGCAATTAAAGAAATCCTGGTTTTTCAATTTTGAGAAAAAATACACACACGGGTGACAAAACACACCACCAATATAGAAGAACCACTCTTATAAACAACTAACTTTAGAACTACTGTTCTAGTTTTCATTTTCTTAAAGAGGAAGGCTATATTCAAACACCAGAAACGTTTTATCAACAATAAAGCTGGTACCTTTACTATATTAAAGGTAAAAGATACTTACAATTTTTGCATTCTTCCCACTTTTCCTTAGTTGTTGAACAGCAAAAGCATGTTCAACATTATCCATTGAAACTCCATTAACCATTGCAACACGGTCATTTTCCCTAAGGGAAAAAAGTCACCAAAATACATGTTAGAGAAAAGCATACAGATAAGTTTGTGAAGACATTTTCAAGATGGGCACTTCTAAAAAATATTCCAATTACGGGCTGATNAAAATGAAAATAAAACTATCATAGTTTTATTTATAAAATTTTTAAAGAATATTACTCACATAATGGTGATTATGTAAAAATATATTTATGGCTCTCAAATAATTTTTAAATTGTTGTGAGGGACAGGATTGGCTCTTCCAGGGACCGGCAAACTTTTGAGTCAGAACGTACCCAAAGGGCCGCAGGTGGCTCGCGAGCTGTAGTTTGCTGACCCCTGACGTGAGGTGGTGGATGTGTTAATTACCTTGATTGTGATGATTTCATAATGTATACGTCACGCTGTACACCCTAAATACATATATTTTTATATATTTAGATACAATGTCAGTCACACCTCAATAAAGCTGGAAGAAAAAAGAGATGAGGGTAGCTTGAACAAAGATGGTGGGAGTGGAGAAAGGCACAAGTGGGGTGGTTAAGAGTGGTACGCAAGAAGTGAGGATATAGTCACTGGGCGTGGGAAAGTGAGAAAAAAGAGATGTGAAGAGTAACTACCATCTTATCTGTGAGTGGCTCAGGAAACTGGGTAAATGGGAAAGCAGTCAATGGGATACTGCATAATAAACAGAAAAATGTTAAGAGGGAAATGTTTCATCTGACGTGTGTTGAGTCTGAGAAGACGTGTCCGGAACCCCTAGGAGAACATGCCTAATAGTCAGCGGGGACACAAGAGGATACACACATCAGACTTGGGCTGGAGAATTAAGTTGTGCCATCGTCAGCAGCTAACTGAGGCAATGAGAGCAGATGAGATTGCCTGTAGAGGTTATTTTAAGTGGAAAAAGATTCTAGAATAGAAATCCATAGAATATGAAAGGGTAGGATGAGGATAATGAGCTTGCCAAGGATACAGAAAAAGTGGGAGACCCCAAAAGGATGCAATATTATAGAAACCAAAAGATAGCAGTTTAAAAAACAGGGAGTAGTTCTTATGCAACATGGTACTGAAAAGACTGAAAATTTCTACTGGATTTGGTATGAACAGTTTTGGGAACAGGGTAGAAAAAGTAGAGAGAGGGTTGAAGAGTGAGTGGTGAAACCAATGGCAAGAGTGGAGCCTGACTGAGAAACCCACTAGAGAGGGGGTAGGGAGCAGTAACTAGGAGATGAGTCAGGGTTTGCAAAGCAAAGGGAGCCCTCATAATATTCTTACTGTAACACCTTTTAACAAAATGACCAGTCCTAAATGCTTTCCCTGTGTTTGAGAGACATGCCCACAGCAGGAAGAAGCTATAATCAGATCCATTTTTATCAAATTTGACTAAGTGAAGGGAGGCAGCTGGGCTACAGTTTCAAAACTTTTAAACAAGTCCTGTGTCCTAGAGAAGTGCTGTACACGAGGCCCCTCCCCTAAGAGCTGAGTAAAACTCCTAGTTTCATCTTGGTGATGGTGTGACATTTCCTGTTAGAGTAATTTGTACTTGGCTGTTCTAATCACAATAAGAAATCCAAACTCTAATCACCGGACAATTTCTCTGAAGTACTGTCTGTTGAAACAAATGATTCAAGAGGAAAGGTTTCTGAAGCCTGCAGTAACTGGATTTGACTGACAGCAATAGGACTCAGGAACGGAGACAACAAAAAGCAACAAATTCAAAGACATGAAGGATGGAAAGTTTACTTCTCACTCAAATTAATTTAAAGTTTCTCATGTGAAAACGATAAACAAGTTGGTAGAGAATCCCTACCTTCATTTTTCCGGGACTTGACCAGTGTGACTTTGGTGGGTCTGGCAGGCTGACTGGAGGCCGCGGAGCGCCTGTCAGACCGCGGGGACAGACTCCTCTCTCGACTTGCACTCCTATCCCTCGTCCAACTCTTCTCACTCCTCCTCGTAGCCAGACCCCCGCGGCCCCTCCTTGGGTCGTGGACTTCCTCGTCATAACTATCTTCTTCATGCTCGGACGCTGGCTCAGGGTCGGGACGACTTACTGGAATCTGAACTTTCTTCTTCCTCCGGATGGTCTACAGACAAAAAAAAAAGTGACAAATAAGCTGTCTGATTTTCATGTATGTACCTTTGGTTTCTAAGAGAAAGAAAAATGACATTTTCGGGTACCATATTAACTAAATCATGAATCAGAGACATAATGCACGATTGTAACATTGCTAAGGAATATTTTCCACAATGGCTGTGTTATCTGCTCCCTGATAAATGGATCTGGTTAAGAACCAAATTTGGAATAGTGGGCCTAATTAATTAATTAATTAATTCAGAAAGATCTTCTAGGTGTAATGATCACAAGCTTGAAGGAAAACTAATAATTGATGGTGGTGTGAATAAGAAAATGGGGCACTGTACTCTAATCCCCAAAATACACTTTCTGAATCCATCAGTATCAAGGCCCACGTTGGTCCTGCTGGGCCTCTGAGAGATCAATTATTTATTCACTTCCACACTAATGTTCACCAGTGTAAACTGCTTTCAGTTTCTGTCTCTCTCCATTTGTAATTTCTGGTGTAGCTGGTATAAATTCCTCCTCCAGGCTTTCTTTCCTCAGTGGCTCTGGTAACTGGTTCAATCTGCCCTGTCCACGTACTTCCTTCACTTTCTGTAGCTCACAGTCTGTGCGCACTACCTTTGGATTAAGTGGCCTCTGTCCCTGGACTGCACTTGGCCTTCTCACACTGGTACACACTTGATCTCAGACATCTGCAAGGTCTTCAGGTACCAGTCCTTATCTTCTACTTCTAACCTCTTCATCTACTGAGACACTTTTCCATGTCCATCTTACTTCTGATTCCTCCGTCCTCTCTGTCCATCAATTTCCTCCTGGTTTCACGTGCCTTCCTTCCAAGTTTGCAGGACAGACCATGTCACGATGTTTAAATGACTTCTCTCGACCCTCAATCAGCTGCCATGACAAACTCCAGCGCTGTCCTGACAGCTGCACTTCCATACTTTGCTGACGGGGTCTTCTACAAATTCATTCTACTTAACAGAATTCTTCTGCTTGGTCACATCCTTTCCTCTCTCTACTTCTTGTTGCCTCTCTGGAATTTGCCAGCACAGGTATTCGAAAACTCTTCTCCAATGCGTGATTTATGGAGATCAATGCCATTTCACATGCCCTCTGCTCGTAAATGTTTTCTGTATCTTATTCATTTGCTCTTCCTTCTGGTCTCAAAGACCAAGTTGATCTTCTTCCTGGATGAGTGAAACCCTTCTGTATGACCTTTTATTCTTATCCCTACCCACCTCTGAGAACTTTCTTTATCAATCACCATCCTCCAAGATACTTACAACTCTAATCTCTCCTTATCTTCCTCAAATCTGTCTTCTGCCTACTAACCTGCCAATTAATCTTCTATGCCTCTGCCTTGTCACTCATTTCCAAGTCATCACCTTATCTCTTCCCTTTGTGGCTCACTTTCTTCAAAGGGCTGTTCTAGCCTTGATACACTGCTTCTTACCACTACCAAGAGCTCAGAGAAGGCCTCTGTGAGCGAATAACACTGAGCTGATTTATACAGATATGTGCAGATCTTTAGCAGGGTTAGCAATTCTGCCTGACGAGAAAGAGCAAGAGGCCAGCACGTGAAAAGGACGAACCAATGTGGTCAGGAACTGATACGCTCACACCCCCAGCTAAGGCAACATTTACTGTAAAGCCTCCCTGACTCCTGCATTTCTGTCTCACCTCTACTTCAATATCCAACATGCTGTATCAGAAGCAATACTTTGTATTAGGCCTTTTATCGTCAATTCCTCCCTCGTAATGTATAAACAAAACCAAGTAACCAGTTGAGTACAAAGCCTTCCGTACCACTCCACCTCTTTGGAAATCAACTGTACTTGAACGACTTAGGGTCATGACTGTGTGTGCCCATCTAGTCCATTAAGACTCAAGTTCCCTGAGGTCCTTACCATGCATTTAACCGAACATGTAATGAAATATTTGCACCCAGTTAAGTGCTTAATTTATTGAAAACTATCCAGTTCCGTTATGATTCTCCATTTATATTATGAGTTAGCTGATATAAACTCACATGAAGATATTTAAAAGGTTCAGCAATGACGTTTGATTTTAACACTGATAATTTTGAAACAGAAATTTTGGGGGAAAAATGCCTACTTCATAACAGTTTAGCTGAATTAAACATTCAAATGTAAAATAAAACAATGAGATGATGCTAGTACTAGAAGACACTACAAGATTTATGCTTGTATAACTCGAGTAAGGTAAAGGCTTTTGTAAACAGGACACCAAAGGCAGAACCAATCAAATGNCGCCACTTGGCCGGCCCCCATTTTATTTCTTATATATCTTTACCACATAAATTTTTTTTTGGTGTGAAATAATACTTGATTTTTATGTTTCCATGAAAAAATGTCTCAGATAATGCTTTTTACTATGGTGGTATGGGAAAGTGAATTAAAGCAATATAATATGATCTCATTTATCTGTATGTGGACACACATATATGGTTATGGCTTTTGAATGGAAGACAGAGCATTAAAGAATTTCCCTTTTGCCTTATTTTATCATGATAGCATAAGCAGTCATGAGCAGCAATAACTTATGTGTTTACATTTTTGCCTGGTAGGGAAACGGAATTTATGATGAACATGTTTTACTGGCCATGCCCATTCCTTTACGTGTCTTTCACAGTCTTGTACACCGAGCAGTTACAACAGGGAACGTAAGGCCCATGAAGTTGAAACTATTTACTATCTGACCTTTGATAGAAAAGGTTTGCCCACTCATATGTTATAAAGCATTTCTTGATTCTTTAAAAAAAAAAAAAAAAGGAAAAAAGTTCCTGACAGTTGGTTCAGTTGCAGAAATATCTGGATAACCTCCTCTGCAAAGAGACTTCTCTGTTCCCTTCCAAGATGCCCAATTCTCTACTTAAGATTCCCCTTAGTGCCTTCTACTTTTTCTCCCATTTTTCCATGCCGTGTTCCTACAGCCAGCTAACTCAATCCTAACGTTTCTCATCAATTACTGTTTTACTCCTCTCCCTTTATTCTTCCAACCAACCCGCAACATTCTGTGAAACCAGTTCTAGTCGTTTGTTTTCACAGTGGACACTGGGGTCACAGAATTCTAAAACCAAACGGATCCTCAGCAATCATTTGTTCAACTGCCTTTTTACAAACGAAGTCAGAAGGCCTAGGGTCCTATGTCTCTCTTCTACTTGCCAATTACGACCTTACAGAGGACCTCTGTGGACCTGAGTTCCCTCATTTAAAGAGAGAGATTAGGATTGTATCAACGCATATACAGTTGACCCTTGAACTTGTGGGGGTTAGGGGTACCGACGACATTCTGAGGTTCCCCCACTATCTGAAAGTATGCCTTCCTGGGAAACCTTCCCTAAACTGAGATGGCATACAGCGAAAAGACAATTAGCTTAGGACACTTTTTGCTAAGGGATGCACAAAATAGATCAAGATAAAGCGCAGATGCTCACATGCACAGTTCGAAGCTCTGGCGGTTCCGGGGAAGGAGCTGGGCGGGGTCCCCTCTCGCTGCTGGGGATGCCCGCTGCCTCTGTAACAACTTGCAGCAAAACAAAGCAAAATGCTATTTTCACTTTCCCCCCCTTTCCCATAAAAGTGAAAATCCTCTTCAATTTCTTTTGGTTAGTTAAAACAGGCATGAATGTGCATCTTTCGTTAAAACGAGGTGGCCTAAAGCGAACTTTCAAAAAGCGAGGACACCTGTACTGAGTGAACGAAGCCAGTTGCAGGGGACCACATATTATGTGACTTCATGTATATGAAATGGTCAGAATAGGAGAAGGGACAGAAAGTAGATTAATGGCTGCTTAGGGTTGGGGGCATCGAGGGATGATGGATAAAGGTAGGGAATTTCTCCTTTGGGCGATGAAAATGTTATAAAATTATGGTTGATGGCTGCACAACTCTGTGAATACACACATACACTGAACTGTACATTTGAAAGCGGGTGAATTGTATAATATGGGAATTATATCTCGATAAGGCTGTTCCAAGAAAAGAGGGTGGGAGAATGGAAAGAAGCCTGCATACGTGTTGAGTAGCTTCCACCTGGTAAGAGGGACATTCACTCAGGTGAGCACGTAAGCTGAGGCAGGCTTGTCTGACCTGGTCAAGGCCACTGTTTACATTGATAATGTACATTAGGTTTCAAACTCTTCATTGTATTGACTCCTCTGTGAAGTGGGTATTAATAACCGTACAGAGTAAACTGAGTTGAAGAAAGTTCTAGTGAAATGTCCCAAAAAAGCTAGACCTTGAACCCAAGTCTTTGGACTCACCATATAATGTTCTTTCCACTTATATATCAAATTTAATTTTAAATCTAAAAAATGTTTATGGAATGTAAGCAGAGTAGATGACTAACTCATTCCTGAGAATTTACTTCAATTCTCAAAGGAATATAAAAATAGATGCATTTTCTAAGGGAGAACATGTGAAACTGAAGAAAGTGTGGGTGTGTCACGGTGGCCAAAGAGGAGGGACACGGGACCCTCTGGACGCAATTACCACCGTAAGCTACGGACCTGCACTGGCCACTGTGACAGCCATCAGACACAGGACTACCCAGCATTTAAAATGTGCTTGGTCTTACCTGAAATGTGCTGAAATTGTAAAATGTGCATCGTTTTCTAAGACTCAGTATGAAGAAAAAGTAAAGTTTATCAATTTTTAAATATTACATGTTGGAAATGATATTTTGTATATACGGAGTTAAATAAGATCTACTATAAAACTAATTTCATCCATATTTTACATTTTTTAATGTAAAGGCTAGAAAAATTTAAATTATGTATGTGGTTTGCATTATACTGCTATTGGCCAATGCTGCTATATAAGCCTCCGAGGAGTGACTTTGTTGAATTAGCTTGGCTTCCTAAGGAATTAAGTTTTACTGGGCTTATAACTCAAGTACTCAGCACTAAGGGGACATAAAACTGATTAAGATTTCCTACTCTTAAGCAAACAATGATGCCACAGGAGACACGGTACAC